AAATTTGGACTTGTGGCTGAAGAAGACATCGTTACAAAGGAAATTAAAAATTGTTCTAAAAAAAAAAAAAAATAATAATTATATTTATTCCTTTTATTTATAATATAAGATAACGCGCGTGATAGTTTTATACATTTTGTAATTATTACACAAAAAAATGAACAAGGCCTTATCGTCCTGTCCTTTCCTAATTCTTAATATCTGTTATTATGAATTTCAAGTTTAAAATTCCGAGTATATGTTTTTAAATGAATTTCTTTTTTTATATTGTGATATCAGATGACCATCAAAAAATTTGATTAGGTGGTGGATGCATAAATTACAAAATTTCTTTTACATTCAATTCCCCGCGAACATTTTCCTCCAACATTGTAATTTGCATCTGCTTCAATTTTTAAATTGTTGAAATTTTTTTTTCTTTTTTGAAGGACTTTTCGATATATTTTTCATAAGGTTCATCAAATTCCTGAAAATTAATTAAATTCTTTGAGTTTGTTAAGAGATTCGAGTTTTCGAGCCCTTTGAACCCTTTGAGCGTTTCGAACGATCGAATGATTTGAACGTTTCAATAATTTATTTATTAGATTATCTAATTGATCTCTTGCTTCGTTAACTCTATTTTCAGATGGTGGTAGCGAGTTCCATTTGATTCTAATTTCATTTCGTGCAGGACTCACTTTTGTGTTTACATGAATGGATGTACCGGTATCTTCGCCAATGGGCTTGAGATTACATCCTTTAGCACCAATTAATACACCAATTTTAATAATTTGAGGAATTGGAATTGTTGAAACTGTCATTTTTGTGAATGTTTCATTTTTGTGTGTTTGTGTTCTTTAAATTTGTTCCTTTTTCACACAACAAAAAAAAATTTAACATGAAATTAGCTGCCAAGTGATATATATGGTCTCATTTCAAGCTGAGGGCTGTTGTGTGAATAAAAAAGTGTTATGACGTTAGGTTGTTTCCATTTTTTGTTAAAATGAAAATTCTCTCGTATTTAAACTGACATATTACGCAAGTCAAAGGGATTTGCAGCCATTTGGCATCGTAGAAGACATGCTATTAGAGATTTATAATCCTTTTATTTTACATAAAAGAAAGTTTAACGCGTGAGAAAACATATTGTAATTATTACATGAAATTTCGTAATTTCGCTCTTTCCTAATAGTAGCGTATAATTTCTTTATAAAAGGATTGACAAGTATAACTAACGCCAACCCAATTTTTGTCGTACATTTGAAAAACCCTACGATTACTCTATCACCTCCGAACGAAACTTCTTTTCCCATACGTGAGTAAAAACTTTTAATTTATTGATGACTTCATCTAAACAAGAAACCCCAGCGTCAAACAATTTTACATTTCTGGAGGAAGGGACACGCAATGCTGTTGAAATACACTCACTGACAAAGATTATTAAAAGAAATAACACCAAGTGCATCCCGGTCAATTGAAAGATATTGGAGTAAATGTCTCCCGCTCAACAATTTCGATATCGAAATGTCACTTCCCTTCGTAAACCAATGCTAACACCTGCCCATAAGCAAAAACGTGTTGAATAAACTCAAAAACACAAGGATGATGATTGGAAAAGGACCCTATTTAGTGACGAAACGGCTTTCCAATTCCATAATACGATAAAGCATTGGTGTAAAAATGCAAGGCCATTTCATCCAATGCCAAAGGACCGAAGTAAAATATTCGCCTGTGGTGGTTTTTGTATAAAGGGTACCACCAGTCTTTTTGTTTTAGGGCGTATAATGGATGGAAAATTCTATACGGAAATATTAGATTGTTACGAGGTAGATGACGGCTGCAACAAGACAATGATCCAAAGCATGCTAGTATTTTTGCTAAGGAATTCATTGATAATGAAGTTCCGGAGTTATGGATTAGCCCCTCTAAAAGACCAGATCTAAAATCCCATTGAGCAATTGTTAAAAGGTCAAATAATAGAGCGTTTTTGGGGAGATATTCCAAATAGCCTTCTAATTAATCTTGTAAACTCAAAGTTACAGCGTTGTAAGGAGGTTAATGAGAAAAACGGTGAATGAAAATCATATTAATTTATTTTTAATAAAATCTATCGCTTCTTATGAGACGTCGTTCGTTTTAATTGATACAATAGCAATAGTTGTGTGACTATCGCAATTTAACGATTGTCATTTTTATTTTACAATTAATGCTACTATACAATTTTATAAAAAAACTACCTATAACTACTTCAACACTATTTTAAATCCAAGTTTATGATATCTTTAAGATATTATCCTTTAAACTTCCTTATCTTTATAACAAAAACAAGAGCCTCGGTCGCCAATTTTCGGCTTAAAAGAATGCAAAGTGATAAATATGGTCTCGTTTTATCATGTAAATAGTGGAACATGTTTATTTCCATAATTGGCATAATTGGACAGCTATTCATAGTGTAATTAATTATATTTTTTTTTCTTTATTTACCGTATTGCGCTCTTTTTTTTCAGGAAAATATTTTTGAATAAAATCACAAATACAACTATAGCTAGATTAATTTATTAGTAATCATTAATTGTTCGTTAGGTTCGTATATAACATTAAATAAAGATATGAGTTTTTAAGTCGCAATATTTTTATATTTTTATATATTCTAGTGGAATCGAGTAAGAATAGTGTTGGTCATGACAAGTAATATACAAACAAATCCAAAAGATCTGTTAACCGAGGCATTACTTTGAGATATTATGGAAGGTCTTGGTACAAATGATGGTGTGGAGGATTCTGTACTTGTCGGTACTGATGTTTCGGTCTATAATATCATAATCAGTTAAAACTTTTCACTGAATACTAACTGTAATTAATTAATTACCTGAGTTCCGCCTGGTGTGGTGGGGGGCGTTTCTACAGGAGTTCCGTCTGAATTGTTTTGGGGAGTTTCTGCAGGAATTCCTTTTGAATCACTTGTTGGTGATGATGGAGGTTCAACTGGATTTGGTAACTTTTCTTCTGGATCACTTCCTTTTGGTTGTTCTTGCGGATCTTCATCTGGTTGTTCCTGTGGATTACTTTCTTTTGGTTGTTCTGGTGCTTCTTGTTCTGGTTGTTTTTCCGGTTTTTCTGGATCATTTGCTATAGGTCCATCTGATTCTGGTAAGGCTATTGACGCTGGAAATACCGATAAACGTCTGACTATTTGAAGTATAAATATATAAATTTTTGTTTCTATTTATTTTTATCGAAATTTTTATTGTCAACTTACCTTTATGAATGGGTTCGGCTATTGTAACTACGAATAATGAAAGGAAAATTGAAAGAAATGTAATTATAGATAATTTCATTTTTGAGGAAAAAAACGAATAAAAAAAAAAGAATAAATGATTAAGAAAAGAAAGAGAAAAAAAAAAAAGTGGGAAAAAAAATCATTCTATATAAATACTAAGCAATCTTTGTGTACAAGTACCATTATAGATTTCCTTTTTTGGAATTTATACTTTCTCTTTGTTATACCGGTAATCCCGATCAGCGTTAAATGACCGTATTTCCGGAGGGGTTTTAAAGGAATAAAGATGCGGCATTAGGTGTAGTGTACATTTGAAACATTTTAGGTTCTATTCTTAGTAACGTTGCTGTAAAAAAAAAAAAAAGAAAACCCCGGGGAATAAATTTACTATTTGCATTTATGCTATTTATGCTAAACAATCGGAACAGCATAATCCAAGAATAGATTTCAGGGATTCACAAATTTTATTGGTTAAAAATAATCAAAGCATAGGCTAAGAGTTATTTATTAAGATTAGTTAAATTAAAAATTAAATTAAGTTTCCAAGGATTTATAATAAAATTTTTTATTATACCATTTAATAAAGTACATTAAAATTAATTTTGATACTTCAAATAATTTATTTAATAAAAATTTAAATTGGATAATCATTTAAAGTTTTAAATTTAACTAATATATATATATATTAAAAAATAATTATTCCTTTACCTGCAATTTTATTTAATAATTAAAAATTATACTTTTTATAATAAAGATAAATATATTATAAAAAAAAAAAAAAAAAGATATAATTTTTAAGCTTATTAACTACTATCTATTGATCTTAAAAAAATAAAAATAATACTATTTAATAGATCTTAATGTAATGAATCTAACAAACTAAATTTTATTTTTTTTTATTAATTTTTAAAATAAAATACTCTTATAAGGTATATTTTAATATTTATAAAATTTGTTTTATCTTTTTATAATCATTAGATGTTAAAATATTATATTCTTTATAAAATAATTTATAAATAATTTATATTTATCATTTAAAAGATAATTTATCAATCTTTTATTATCATATTATAATATTTTAAATAAATATTATATTAATTATTTAATATATTAAATATATTAAAATAAAATTTTTATTAGTAATAAGTTTAAGTTTAAAAATTATAAATAAATAATAATATTAAATTTGTTTAATATTAAAAAAATAATTGTATTTAATAATATTTATTTCATTTAAATTGATTTAATAACTGTAAAAAATTTTAAATATAGATAAAATTGTTAAAAGTTTTACAAATCATTTAAAATAAAATTTTTCTAATAAACTAATAAATATATAATCATTTATAATAAAATTAAAAAAACTAGTTAAACATAATAATTTATATTATATTTAAATTATTAATTCAAAAAAATTTTTTTTTTGTAATATATTTATTTTTTAAAAAAAATATTTATACAACTGCTAATCTTTTAAATTTATTTTCTATAATAAAGTTTCTTTATAATTTAAAATTAAAAATATAATATAAAAAGTAAAATATAAATTATTCTAACAGTTTTTTCTTTTATTATAAAGTAATATATTAATAATAAGGTTAATATATGAAATCTAGAAGTTTTTAAGTTGTCTAAATGGTAAAAGATAAAATTTAGTAAATTATATTAAAACCTTATTAAAAATCTACAAAATTCTAGAAAAGGTAAAACTATATCAAAGCTTATAAAAATGAAAAACTATATCAAAACCTTTGAATAATAATAATTTTTATTATGTTAAATTTAATTAATTCTATAACATACCAATTTAACTTTTTATAAATAAATAAAGTTAATCTAAAATTAATAAATATTTTTTTTTTAATTTAAATGTATTGAATTAAATATTGTTTTAATTATTATAATTTCTCTTAAAATATTTATTAATATTAAAAAAATATATAAAATAAATATAATTAATATTTATAAAATATAAATATTTATTTTAATAATTAATAAATACATTTATATTTTAAAATAAAATAAATTTATTTTGTATTATATTATATCAAATTAAAATTTTAATATTTGATTTTATTTTTTAACATTTATAATTAATTCTTTATATAATCCTTTAGAAAGTTTAACTATCCTATAAATTATTTAATAAAGTAATTTAAAACATAGTAAATAATCAATTATATTTTTATAATAACACATTAAAATGTTTAGATAAATGAATCTTATTATTTTAAAATTATAAGTTATAAATTAGACATTATTGATTTCATTTGGTAAAAGTTTAATTAAATTTAATTACATATTTGTTTATTTATTTATTATTCTACAAAAATATATAAAATAGTCATGTGTTTTTTATATCATTATTTGATCTCACACATTGGGTTAAATTTAGGTTAAGGATTATTTATATTATTAAGGAGGGAGGATACTTTATTTCTTTTTTACAGAAAAAAACTTTTTTTATATACAATCGTATATTAAATTCCGAAATTAAAAGTTGACTGAAAGTCATCTTCATTGCTAGAAAACTCCGAATAAATAGCTAGAATTCAGAAGTTTCTCCAGTTATATAATATTATTTCTGGAAGTATTTTTGAAATATTTGAAATATGAGGGAGATAATATGTAATTAGGGCTAAATTTTCAGGGGTTAGGGGCAATGAAGGTTCGTTATAAGGAGGAGGGGGTTGGTCTGATATTTGCTCATGTACAACTATGTCACGATTTGATATTCGTTGGTGTTCACGTTGAGTAATTGTCTAAGTAGAAAGGAATTTGTTTCTTCAGAAAGAGCTAAGCTAATCCTACATGCATTTTTTCATTAACGAGATTTTAATTGAATTTTTCCCGGTCATATCACATAATAAAATCTTATTATCAATGATAAAGTTAATAAATATCAACGTTTCATTCATTATCATCTTCTAATGAATTATGAATCGAATCTCCATTTATAATTTTTTGCTAATAACATAACTCTTGTCTCTATTATTGGGTCCATAATTGAAATATTCTTTGACATAAATATTAATTTCTTTGAGCCTTGATTCAAGATTAAATAGAAATTTACGATAAATTATTTATATCGGACAAACCAATCAATTATTATCCCTACGTAAATAAGTCATTGAAGGTGGGTAAAGGAATGTTAAATGGTAAATCCAATTTCGCAACTTTTTAAATTCGTCGTTTTCGTCGCTTGTCCATAAGTTTACATTGATATCGCATATTTTCTCAAAGTTACGTTTAATTTCGAAATCATTATTGTAAGGTTCTGACCATCCTCTTGTTTTTTGTCCTAAAAATCTAATATTTATCTTACTTATATAAAATGGATGTTCCTCGGTCGTACGTAAATGTATTACAGCACCCAATGATGCTTCATTCATTCCCATAAATCCAATATTAAAAGAATTTGAATTTCGGCAAATATGAAAACCATACTTTTGAACTAGATGATATATGGGAGTGTTTCTAGGAAAATCAGGTTCCGAGAAATTTTTGACTAAAATTTAGAGCTTAATACATTTTAATCTAATAACATCAAAATCTAAAATGCAATAAAAATCTCAATTTTGCTAAAAAATTCCCGGAACCTGATTTTCCTAGCAATCAACCCATATAATCTGATGGTGATCCACCTAATATTTCTGAACTTGACATATTTTAACATAGTAAATAAGTTTTTTTTTTTGCAAGGCAACGGGGAAATAGTAAAGGAAAAAAACGAGAAAAAAAAAAAAAGAAAAGAAAAGAAAAGAATTTCAGATGGTCTTACACGTTTTAAAAAAAAAAAGAGTCATTTGTTTTTAAAATGGAAAAAATAAAAAATAACGTGTGATAATGATAATGATGTCAACATATACATATACACTGATCTGCGGCAAAACCTGATCATCGGATGTCAAAGTCACTTGATCACTAATCCCATAATTCTCTAATATCCGAAAAACAACTATATATCTAACCCTTTTTGCAATACTTCCAACTCATACTTACCTGGCGCGGCATCCTCTGTGATCAAAAAGGCAGGGATGCGGGTGATGGTTGCTGGCATTGCACATCGCTGGTGGCCGCTGCTCCGAACATCCTCATGGATGTCTCGAGCGCATAATTTCTGGTTGTTGGGGTGGTCATGGTTCGCCGTGGCTGCTCCTATTTTTATCTTTTCAAGCGGGTTGGGTTAGAGGGTTGTGTTGAAAATGGGCAAAATTAATAATACGGAGATTAACTTTTTTTTTTTCATGTGAAAAAATCATTTTGAAATGATGTAATCTTAAATTCGACTGATCGGCATCGGCGAAGGCCGATGGTCGGATAAAATACACGAGTTTGTAGTACATTGTGGTTCAATTTAATATGACAAGTTAAACAGATCGATCAGGTGAAAAACGAGCCTTTTTTCCCCTAAACTTTCATTTCATGACAGAACAAAATAGTTCGAGAGGTTTATACAATCGTAAGTCTCAGAATGAAGTTCTTCAACAGGAGAGAATTTCCTTTGGACGTTCAAATTCTGTAGACTATGAAACAAATAAGTATACATGGGAACATTGTAACGACCTTTCTCTCGAAAGTAATGACGAAGACACAGAAGGATTTATTGTTGAACAAGAAGATTCTTCTACGAGAACACCACAAGACCCTAGTGTAAAGAAAATAATTGCAATGGCAAGAGGTACAGACTCCATTCAGTCTGAAGGTTCTGGAATTAACGGTTCTGCTAATGCACCAGAAGATAAAATGTGTCGTATATGTTTTGCCGGTTCAGAAGAGGAAGATAACCTTGGCCGTCTTATTTCACCGTGTCAATGTAAAGGGACTATGAGGGTAATTATTATTTTATATATAATTTTTTTTTTCCTTGAATTATAAATTTGATTTTATAGAATTTTTTATAATAATTTTTTTTTTTTTAAAAAAAAAAAAAAGTATGTTCATGTGGAATGTTTAAATCATTGGAGGTTACAAAGTCAAAAGAAAACCAGTTTTTTTCAGTGCGATGAATGTAAATACAAATATGCTTTCCGAAGAACGAAAATGGCAAAATTTGCTACTAATGAATGTAAGTGCAAAAATAGTAGTGTTTTATTTATTTATTTTTTTCGTTCAGAATAAACAAACAAAATCTAACTATTAAATTTATTATATTATTATCCTTTAAAATTGTCAAAGTTATTCTCACACTTGTCACATTATCATTATTTGCACTTTGTGTTTTTTTGGGAGGGTTTCTTGCAAAATTTTTTCTTTATCTCTTTCCTCTTACAGAGGATTTAGAGGATGAAGAAGAAAGTGAAGATGATTTAGTAGAACCATTATTTACAGAACCTATCACCGTATCAACGATCTTTACTATTGACTACTTTCATGTCGTGTTAGGATTTATGTTTGTAGGCCTTGTAGGATTCTTACAATTGTTCTTTTCTTTAATGTGGTTTGGGCCACTCCCTTCATGGAATACTTTTAGGATCGGATCAGCTAGTGGAGGTGGTAGTGGAAGACGCGCTGATGGTTTTACAGTTTTTTTTTTCACAATTATCATCATTCTTGGTACCCTTAAAGCCACATGGGGGATGTATAAATTGGTTAGGAGCGCAAGTAGAAAATTATTAGAAAAAGTTGAAATGACCATTCTTGAAGTGAATGAGGCCTAATTACTTTTGTCTTTGTTTCGTGATGACGAATTTGAAATGATCCTTTCCGTTATTTATTTTTTTTTGTTACATCTTTTTAATTTTTCGGGTCAGAACAGAAAATCTCGCATTTTTTTTTTTTATAAAAAAAAAATATTTCAAACAAATTATTTATAAAGTTTAATCTTAATAATAAATAGATGAATTTTTAATTTGGGACAATGATGTTCCGTAATAACCGTTGCTACGTGCGTTTGCGTAACGTATCACTGTAAATTATGCTTAATTATTCTTTTTTTTTCTCTAACAATTCTTTCAAAAATGTCAACTACGATTGATAAAGAGAATTATATAGATTCATTGATTTTTAAACATGTAGATGCGTCAGATGTTGAAAGAGCATTTCAATTAGAGTCTGAAGGTTCTAAAAATATATTAAATATTTTCTAAATATCTTTTTACAAAACTTTTTTTTTTTATTCATAACCTTTTTTTTTTAAAAAAAAAAAAAAATTAAATAAAAAAAAATAGGATATCCGCCCGAAGAAGCGGCATCATTAGAAACCTTACAATATCGACAAAAAGTAGCACCAGCATTATTCATGGGTGCATATCTTCCATCATCATCATTATCCTTACAATTGATTGGATTTATTGTATCGACATCAACGTTATCGAAATCATTAACTCATGAATCTATGTCTTTACACGAACAGGAAGGTAAAACTGTTTGTATACACTCCGTTTGCGTAGATAAAAAATATAGAAGAGGTGGCGTAGCTACTAAATTATTAAAAGAATATATAAATTCATTGAAAGGATCTGGTGATGTTGGCGAAGATGTAAAATATGAGAGGTGTGCTTTACTAGCTCATGAATATCTAATTCCTTTATATCGAAATGTTGGATTTAAATTAATGGGGGAAAGTCAAGTCATTCATGGTAAGTGATATAAATTCGCGAAATCACTTTTTTTTTTTTTCCAAAAAAAAAAAAGAATTATACATATTTTTTAAATAGGGCCCGAGAAATGGTTTGATCTAGTTATGGAGTTTTAAAACAATCAACCTATAAACACGATTTTAAAAATTTTCATTCTTCTTTTTCTCTATTTAAAGCTAACCAATTCAAGTACTCAACTCTAATGATATCTTTAGCAAAAGTATTATCTTTTAGATAAAAATATTTAGCAATAGGAGAATAAATAATCGTTTTAAATATACCCAAAGGTCTGATTAATTTTTCTATTAAAAGGTACCAAAATATTGCAAACGTCCCACCAAATATATTGCCTACAATTACTTGTTTCGTTGTATGATAATGTAAATATATCCTAAGAAAAGATTCTTAAAAGTGTTAAAAAATAGTTGATTAAAGTAATTAAGGAGATAAATTAATTATAATTATTACCTTGAATAAGAAACTAAAAACGAAAATATAATCAACCCAAAGGTTAATGGAAGTTTCCATAAATTATTACGAAAGGTGATTCTATAAAAAAAAAAAAAAAACGATTTTTAAGAAAAATAATAAAAAAAATAATAATAATAATTAATTAATTAATTTAATTAATTTACTCACTTGTACCATAAATAAATACTAGAAAAAATTGTAAAATAAGCAATAAATTGGGCATGGGAAGAAGGCATTCCATATCCTATACCAATTTTATCTATGGATAATATTTATTATTTTAAAATAAACATTAATTACATTTCTTCTAGTATCCTAACCCAATTTCTTTTATTAATTACCACTAGGTCTTTTTTCTTTTATCCATTTTTTCAACCCGGAATTTAATATTTCACAAGATAATTGACCCAAAAACATATTAATCATCATTAATTCTCTCCTAGCAATAATAGTACTAATATAACTTATTACTATAACTAAAGGAGATAATGTCACATATGCAAAGGCATATGAAAGTGGGTCATTTGGATCAAATTCTACATGTGTTAATGAAAGTGATGTTAATGGTTGTTCTGATAATGTTTCTTCTAAATGATTGAGATGTGACATTGTGAGAGGAGAAATTTTAAGTTAAACAAAATTCAAAAAAAAATTTTATATATATTTGGTTTGACGTTGTACAAGGAAAAAGGTGATACTTAATCTAATGTATCACGTGAATGTTTAATTCCTTTATTATTTTCTAACGTAACACAGATACTATTCATCATCCATAACGTCATCATTTGAACTAAGTCTAATTGTCCTTTGTCTAACATTGTCCTCGCGTTTAACTTCAATATCCAAATCAGCCACATCAAAATTCCTTTTCATACCGCTAACTCGATGATCATTAAAATTAATCGCGCCTAATCTTCTCGATATTTCTTCACCGGGGGGAATATATGAGCCAGAGGAAGAGTGTGAAGACGTTCCCGTGTAATTGCTTCTACTATCATTTCGCGAAGTAGACATACTAGGAATTGTGGTACTATTAATGCTGGTATTTGTTCTACTATAATTCGAATGGTAGTTGTCACTAACATTATCGTCCAATGTGTGATTTTCTCTTGAGTTAGATTCTCTTGACATGTTACTCTCATTAACACGTGTATTAGAATTTGAAAATTCTGTGTTATCCTCGCGAAATATCCCTGCCACTTGATATTCTATTCCGTTACCATTATTTAAATTTTGATTTACTTGATTCGTATTATTCAATAGAGCTTCAATCTCCCATTCGGGTGGCCTTTCCGGATCGTTCCCACGGTTTAAATGATCTCCAAAAATTTCTCCTTCAATTTTGATGTATTTCTCAAATTCGCCGCATAAATAAAACGGTTGAGGTTGATATGGATCATCTGTATCTATATCACTAAAGTAAGCATTTAAATTGCATTTCAATGAACGTACAAGATTCATTATTCTCTCAAAAGATTTTCGATTAATTTTGATATCCATTTGATTAGTGACATTATAATCCTCAAATCGTGATCTTGGTATAGAATACCTTGATTCAGATGAAAACTTACCATCAGATAAATTGATTGAATATATGATCCTTAAAGCTTCCTCTGCAAACAAGAACCTAATATTTTCATTCTTGCAATTATGAGGCCAATATTCTCTATTTAATATCTCAGAATTAATTGACCAGTGATTTTCCTCTTTTTCCTCTAATGAAGTTTCTGTGTTGGTTTCTCCCTCAATTTCGGATATTTTATTACAAACTATATTATAAGAATTTCGAAATGATCGCGTTTTTCTATTGGTTTCAATTTTCATAATATCTTCTGCTCCGGCAAGACCATCTGATTCTTCAATCATAATTCGCAATGAACTCAAATTCGCCGAAATTCCAGAAAATGCATCCCGAATGTTACTTGAGAATATGGTATAACTTCTTGGGCTATTCACATGAAAACTGTCAAATACTTTGCGATTAAAAGTAATCAAAATTTTAAAGGAGTTGGTTTTTATTGTAATAACAAGTTTATCACGGTACACACCAAAAATAAGCTCGTCATTTCCCTTAGACAGTTTGTACATCAATCTGTAAAAAAGAGACAATTTAGATTCTATAATTTTTGCAGAGAAGGTTTGAGTAGGCATGTTTTGAAACGCGTCGAGTATTATGTTATTATTAAAGAATATGATTCTTTATTCAACATTTCAAAGTGTTCAAAATGGTTTCAAGTTAACAATAATAGTAGGTAAAAGTGCATAGAATTTACGAAAAAAATATTTCAATATCGCGTAAATTACGCACAATCACGTGTATAATATATATACCAAATATGGTTTTATTATTCAATTTTTTCTATATCTATCTTACTAAAAAAAAAAAAAATCCAAAAAGACTTTATAATTATTTTTAATTCTTAAGATAATTAATAGAATAAATAAAAACCATTTAAAATAATAAGTATAATGTATTTATAAATTAAATATATAAATTTATTTAATTTGTTAAATAATAATACTTATTTTTTTAAATAAAATATATATTTAAAATCTGTAATAAATTATTCTAATTATATTATATCTTAAATCTATTTTTAAAATTTTTAGCTTATAAAAGGGCAATTATTAAAAATTATTTATTATAATAATAAATTAATTGAAATAAATAATCAAAAAAAATTATATTATATTTAATATTTTTTATTATTATTATTATATTATTATTAAATACTTAAAAATTATTTATTAATTTATTTTAAAAAATTGGTTAAAAATTTTTATTAAAATGATTTTCTAAAATAATTTTCTGGTTTCTTAACTGATCTTATAAAAATAATCATCTTTTATTTTTTATAATTTCTTTATAAAAGTTTTGTATTAATTTTTAATAAAGAAATATTTAAATATAAAAAAAATATTTATTATTAAAAAAATAAATTAAATAATTTTTAAAATTGATTTATAATAAATAATTTTTTTTAAAATTGACTTTTAATATTTTACATTTTAATATATTATTTTAGAAAAAAAAATAGGTTATAAGGTAAGTTCTTTATTATTTTATATATCTTATATAAATACTAATTAAAATTTACTTAACTAAGTAAAATTTATATTGATTATATAAGATAAAATTGTAATAGAAAAATACTTATTTTTTTAATTCAGAAATGTATCCTTAATATTATATTTATTTATTTTCAAACTTTTTTATAATATTGACTCACATAACTTATTGATCAAATTGAAGGATTTATACTAAAAGTTCTAGAATACTTTTAACAATATCTCAAATTCTGCTGATTTAAAAATTTCTATATGAATCAGACACTATAGATCTAAAGGTAAATTTTATCAATTCATTTTTTGTATTAACATAAATAAAAATCAAGTCAAAAATTATATCTTACTATTACTTAATACCTTTAATTAAAAAGTAATTCATTATCATTAATATAGATTTTTATTATATATATAGATATTCTAATTTATATTTTACATTTTATGAGATTTTAAAATTAAAACTTTTTAATTATAGTAAATATAAATGAATGATTATACTTAGCTAAATACTAAAAATATAATTAAAGTTTTATTATAAAATAATAATTAAAGTTACTTGTTTAAACTTATTTTAAATTTAACAAAATATCTAAACTTTAGTTTCACTAATTTTTTGTTAAGATTTTGATATAATTTCACATTTTTATAAAACTTTGATATAATTTTATTTTTTTTAGAATTTTATAGATTTTTTAATAAGGTTTTAATATAATTTTTTTAAATTTATTTTTATTATTTAAACAATTTGCAAAATCTTTAGATTTAGTTTAATAACTTTAGTGATATTGAACCTATTAATCAAAATCATCTTTGTTAATAAAGTATAGTTGAGAAAAGAAAAAGAAAAAATGAAAAGTATCATGTTAGATACAAAGATAATAAAATGAGATTTTACCAAAGTATAATTTAACAAATAAATAAAAAATATGATACAACATATTCTATTCGCTAATACAAGTTGAAATGAAGGAATTTAGTATACAATTATAATATAAATAAATAAATAAATAATAATATAATGATAAATATAATTTAATAGTATAATTAATATTTTTTAAGACTTTTGTAATTATTGAAATAGAGTGAGAAGAAGCGAAAGATAGACTTATATAGTAAAAAGATTATATAATATCTTTAGAACTTAATTCTAAAATAGACTAAGTAATAAATAATTAAAAATGTTCAAATAATTTTTTACATTTATATTAAAAATATTTATTTTTTTAAAATCAAAGTATACTTAAAGAAAAAATTGTAATTTGCCTACTACAAGATAAACCTAAATATAAAATATGCCTATAAGGTAAATCTAAAATATAAAGTAAAATTGTAATATATCTGCAAAGTAATAATTATTAAAAATTTTTTATTTCGTTTTAATTTTTTTAAAAATTTTATTTTTTATTTTATTTCATTCATTTAATTTCATTTTTCTAATTTTATTTTTCATTTCATTTTATTTTTCTAATTTCATTTTATAGTTTTATTTTATTTGTTTAATTTTATTTTTCGTTTTGTATTGTTTACCTAATTTTATTTTATAATTTCATTTCATTTTTTTAATTTGATTTTTTTGTTTAATTTAGTTTTCTTAATTTCATTTTTTCATTTCATTTTGTTTTCCTTAAAAAATGATAAATTAAATTTTTTTTTTAAAAAAATTTAATAAATTAATAAAATGATTATATAATAATTAACAGATTATATATTAAAATAAAATGACTAGAATTTACAAAATAACATAAAAATATTTCTGGAAAAATTATATTATAGTAAAATTATATTTGTGTATAAAATCAGTAATTATCTACTATACTCAAATAATTTATTATGCTATAGTAAATAATTTGTTAATACTATAACAAATTATTCATTATATATACCAAATAATTCATTATAATATTAACAAAAATTCTTATAATGAAGGCCTAATTAACTAAATCAGCTACTTTGCTATATTAAAACATAATTGTATTATTGTCTAATTTATTATTATTAACATTTTGTTCCTCTTCTTCTTTACTTTCTCTTTCTTATTAATTATATCTTCTACTTTATTAAACTCAAAAATTAAACCATCTTTTGTTCTATCAATTGTATTGAAAATACTACAACATTTAAATGAATTATTGACCATATTAGAATTAATAGTATTTTAACTTTATTTACCTAATTTGTAATAAGTAAATAAGATAATTTTTTAATTTTTTCAGATAGTATATATTCTTTAATAGCTTTATTTATCTAATTATTATAATGTTGTTACATTTATATATTAAAAATATTAATATTAATTATTTAAATAATAAAATAAAATAAAATTAAAATACCTTAACTTTAAAGAATTTATTTAATTATATATTAAGTAGCTATAAATAAAAAGTTAATATATTTAAAATAATAGTTAAATTAATATTTTTTTATTAAATTAATATTTTATAATATTAGTTCTATATGTACTAAAAAAATCTAATATTAAAAGAAATTTTAGATTATTACTTTATCTTATATATTATGTTTAAATATTTTTATTCACTAAGATATTTCATTTTTATTTATCTAACTTTAAAAATTAGCATAAATAATTACTCCATCAGAAAACTCTTCTTAGGAACTTTTACAAGTTTAAAAATAATTACAAATAGTAATTTTATTTTATTAGTCATATGATTTAAAATAATAATAAAATTTGAATGTTCATATCTAGATAATAAAATTAAACATATTTAATACTACATTATTTAACTGTTATATTATTTGATAAATTAAATGATATTAGTGTTTTATTCATATTTTTAATTAAAGATATTAATAATCATATTCTTTTTAACAAAATAAAATATAAAATAAACATTCACTATATTCTTAAATATAATTTTTAAAAGTTGATAAACAACTGTTTTTTTTTATTAATTAGATTATGATAACTCATAAAACTATTAATCTATTTTTGTAAAAATTTTACATCTTTTATATTAGGATATTTTAACTAATATATTGTTTTTTAGCTAAAAAACATGCTTTTATTTAAACTATATAATGAAAAATAACTTTCAATTAATTTTAGAATTCTTTAAACTATTCAAAAAATTTATTTTTAAATAGATATTTTGAACAGGTATTTATATTAAGTTTTGAATATAAGGAGTTACTTTTAACAATTATTCTTTATTTTTTAACTATTTATAAAGTTGTTTGGATTAAATGTTAAACTGTATTTGAACATTTACTATGATCTTTTTTGTAATATGTATTTACTATTAATTTTTTCTGTATAAACTATTAATATTTTATTTTTTTGTAAATATTAGCCTAACAGGTTTTGAAATTTTCATGAAATATATTTTTAAAAATAAATATAATTATTAATATAATTTTTAAATATAAGTATTATTTTTTAGTATCTTTAAATTTAAAATTCAATAGAAAAAATATGAAAAATTAATCTTTAAATAACATTTTTTTCTAAAATAGCTTTTTATTTTTTTTAATAAAGAAAGACTGATAAAAGCATTTACTAGTTTTAATAATTGTTAAATTAATAATAATGAGTTTAACTTTTAATATAAAGATAATATACTATTTACTATTTTCTGAATATTATATAATGATACATAATAATATTTCTGAATATATAAAAATATTTATGAAAGTAAAATAAAAGAAGTAAAAAAATAAAAATTGAAATTCAAATAAAATAATAAGTAATATTTGATATGTTTTATATTTTTTATCAAAAAATTTTTTTTTGCAAATTCTCTAAATAAAATAAATTTTCAAAAAAAAATTTACATATCATTGTCATCAAATTTAAAATATTTACACATTTAAAATTATTAAAAATTATCATATTTTTATTAGATAAATCAAAAATAATAATTATTAAATTTTTACTGAGTATAATTAATTGATTCTATTATTTATTATAATAATAATATATAAATACCATTATTTTGAAAAAATAAAATAGCAAATAAATGTTATTTTGTCTTTATATATGTTTAAGTTTAAAATAAATTTGATAATTATTTAACAAAAATATAATATATTTAATAAATCTATTTATTATATTTTATTGATAAAAT